ATTATTAAATTAATTATTTATTATTATTATTATTAATTATTAAATAAAATTATTGATGTGGTTGTGGTTGGAGAGAGTGTGAAGGAGACATAGAGCACAAATGCATAAGAAACCAGTTTGGTAGTACTCTTGTGCTTAGACAACCTTTGTAATTTATTTCTGAGAACTAATGCTTTATACATAAACTCATAGTACATAACGCTAATTTATTTTCATGTTAAAAGTTATATTCGAACAAGGATCACAGACAAGATTTCAAGATGGTGTATAATCCACCCCATCTACCACCCTGAGAAGCAGTCAGGGACTCGGCTTCTGGTGACAGCAAAGACTCATGCTAGACTGTGTATGATTTGTATGTGACAAATACCCCTCTTGCATAGTCTTCCTTGCTGTAGAAAGTAAGTACTTGACTATGTGGATGCTGTCAGCAGATAGACTCTAGGAATCAAAATACAATTTGAAATCTGCAATTTATTCTTTAGCAGCAAATACTTCTTGTGTTGCAAAGTATCATGGCACAATTACTTCAGTCCTTACTCAAGTGTAAAAAGAAATCTAAGTTTCACTTCAAGGACTTTGGCCTGTAATGACAAATAGGGAACTTTTCTTTTGCTGTTCCTTTGACATTATTTTTCTGTGGTTACAGCCATCTGTTCTTTAATTTAATGTATGCCCTTTACTAAGGGATTTGAAAATACTGTCCATAGATACTAAATTAATTTTTATACTGTAAAGCAGCCTGTGGCAGTGCTTCTAAACAAAATTCAGCATTTTTTAATAAAAACATGCTTAACATTGAAGCTATCCTGCTGACCTGACCTACATTTCGCCCTAGCTGATAAAGCAGTCTAAATATACACAGCATGATATGAAGATCTGTAAGTATAAGTTTTCCTTCAGAAAGGGCATACAGTGCATGCTGAACCATGATATGAAACCAAAGGTTCTGGCTTGAGGGACATATATTTCTATCCATTAATAGACTTTCTTTGAGCATTAAAATTCTGGTCTTTTACAAAGAGGCCACACTGGACAGGGTCATGGTTCAGTTTTTAAAAGACTGTATGTTCCTGAAATGTAATACATTGCTGTGCAAGATGTATTGGCATCCAGATTCAGTCATCCCATCTTGCACTACTACTGCCTGATACTTTACATACACAATTGAGAAAATGTTTTCTACTGCTACTAAGCCACTAAGGGCCTTACTTCTCTTACTACCCTATTCATTTTAGAGCTTGTGGTCTCAACCTGGCTTTCAGCCAGCTTAGTACTCCACGTGTAAGGTGTGTGTGTCTGTGCCCTGTGACTCTTTTTTAACATAGTTTCACCCCAGTTACAATACCAACACTATTGAGGCCATAGTGGCTGTGATGGTAACTGTACGTAGAGAACAGTAATGCAAAAGCAATGTAATGTCCAGGTCTGAAACACAGAGTATTTGTGATTACACTGTGAATTTCTTCCCAGCCATACCTAATCTCTGTTTGGTGTTTTTCAAGTATCTGTTGATGTGGTATCTAAACACCCAACTGGCAGATGCCAATCTGAGATTTGAATCCAGACTTCTAAGGGAGTCTGAATTTTCATTGCTCACTGCATGAATTTGATACTGTTGTGGTTTAGCCCCAGTCAGCAACCAAGTAACACTCAGCCGCTTGCTCACCCTCCCACCCTGGTGGGATGGGGGAGAGAACAGGAAGAGCAAAAGTGAGAAAACTCATGGGTCGGGATAAGAACAGTTTAATAATCAAAATAAAATAATAATAATACAAACTATAATGAAACGGAGAACAACAAGACAGAGAGAGAAACAAAACCCAGGAAAAACAAGTGATGCAACCGCTCACCACCTGCCGACCAACACCCAGCCAGTCCCCAAGCAGCAATCGCTGCCCCCCAGCCAACTGCCCCAGTTTATATACCGCGCATGATGTCATATGGTATGGAATAGCCCTTTGGCCAGTTTGGGTCAGCTGCCCTGGCTCTGCCCCCTCCCAGCTTCTTGTGCACCTGCAGAGCGTGAGAAGCTGAAAAGTCCTTGACTAGTGTAAGCACTACTTAGCAACAATGTGTTATCAACATTATTCTCATACTAAATCCAGAACACAGCACTATGCCAGCTATTAGGAAGAAAATTAACTCTATCCCAGCTGAAACCAGGACAGATACCAAGGAATTAACCCTCCTCAATTTGGAAGATCAGTTCACTGGAACAGCAGCACGAGCTGCATATATTTTGTGGATTTTTGGTATTATGCTTTAATTACTGAATAATTTTTCACCTAAGTAGGAATATCACAACTGTGTAGTGATGTTTACAGACCCAGATGTTGATTGGCATGCAGTGTAACAAATATACATGAGTCTTTTTTTGCTATGGAGTGAAATAAGATACTACAGCCTTTGAGATTAATTAGGCTTTATCATCGAGTTCATTGTTACCATAACAACTCAGAGAGATGTATCTTCCAAAACACAGCACTGATTCATCTGGTACAAGCACTGAGCAAAGACCATTTTATAGGATGGCTACTGCTTTCTGTCATGTCAATTAATGATTCTAATGACATTTCAGAGCTTGTGTTAGGTCTGGAAATCTTTCATAAGCTATTCCTTGGTTTCTGCTGAGGATGCTGTTTCCTTCCATACTTTTGCAGTGTGGATTACAAAAAACAACCATGATAGGAATAGAAATAACACAGCTAGTATTGTTATTGTCACACATTTCTAGCAGTCTTTCTCAATTGATATCTGCAACACATCTTCACTTACTCTCAGATATTTACTACATTAAGGCTTCAGTGTCTATTTCAAAGTTTGCCACTAGTCATAATTTTAATTGCATACTGCTTTCAGATGTGGAGCTCCCATCAGCCTCTAATGTTGTATGGAGGAAATGAGTTTTAAATTCATGAGACAATGTTTACATGAATCTAGCCCTCCTTTAGCTGTGTTGTACTTCAGCAATCAATAAAAAGAATACAGTGCTTGCCAAAGCATCTGTTGATGCCTCAGATAAAGGACCTGCTATCCTTAAATTATATCCCCTCCCAGTAGTTGCTAATCCCCTGTTTTAATCCTTGCAGGATGCTGAGGAGCAATTCTATCAGCTGTATAAACAATGACACCTTTGCTGGACTGAGCTCAGTGAGGCTTCTTTCTCTGTATGACAATCACATCAGCACTATCACCCCTGGAGCCTTCAGCACATTAGTCTCTTTGTCTACAATGTAAGTTATCTTTTTACAGTACAAACATGTCATGATGCTGTTATTCCACGCTTTCCTTTTAAGAAGACAATATTTGAGTTTCAAAATCAAACTACTTATTGTTCATATATGGAAAACTTCATTTAGGGAAAGAAAACCCCATCCTACTGAAATCGCGGGTTTGGAGGACTCAAGGTGTGATTTAGAAAAACCTTTTAATTGCTTCAGCTGGCGTGGCTGAAAATACTTTGAGGTTGCCAGCCTCAGACAGGATGACTGCATGTTTTGCCGTGTCTCAGCCTAGTGCAGTGCACAGCAGAAGCTCATGTAAAACAATCTCTGCAGATTCAGAAGTGCATAGCCTATCATACACTTCAGCTCCCTGCAGCTGCTTTAGTTTCAGTAGAGTCTAATTTTGTAAGAACAGCTTTCTTGGATTTCAGTTAAATCAGTTAAGTATCAGAGGAAATCTACTAACTAATGCTTAGATGTTCAGAAGAGCCTAAGCTGACAAAATACTCCAGTCCTACTGATGGTGAATTTGAAAATCCCAGCATAAGCTTTTGTGATACTTCTTTTATATTTCTCAATCCTTCTTTGAAGTATTTCCCTTGCTTCTTAAATATGCTTACATGCTTTTTGTAGTGTGTCCATTTTAATAAAGTACAGACTGATAAATATGGAAAGAAAGTCTGCTCTTTGTTTCCAGCTGTGAATGGGGACCCTGATGTTGCTGTTAATGGAAGTTGTCTGCTTAATTCCCTTCATGCTGCCCTGAAAATACATCCTAATTGTCCAGACAAAATAAACTATTGGTGCTATTGCATTTCAGGTTTTGAAAGTATTCTCCATCATGTTTGGGGGAAGAAAGAAGTGTTTGAATCTCAGCTGTTTTGTTGCTCACACTTTCATTTTGTTGTTCTAACTTTTCACCAGCAAATCAGTTATCATTCTGGCATTAGCTCCATGCAGCATAAAGAACCTAGGCTTTTCTTCCATTTGCTTTCTCTAGTCCCAAAAGCCTCCTTGAAATCGGTGGACAAAGAGAGAAACGCAACCACATTATTTTTATTGGCTGTTTCCAAGTCACAGGTCAAAGCAAGTGGTACTTGCTGAAAGCTTGTTCTCACTGTGCTTTAAAGCAATGCCTGCCTGCTTCTCGTGCAATTGTCTCTGTGCTTCCTTCCGTGGATCCCTTAATAGCTGTGACCTTCTGAATCAGTCTATAAAGTCCCTACCTTGTTTGCATAGAAGTGTCTTTGTCATGTTTTGTTAAGAAGATAGCCCATTTCTTCTTTTTTCAGCTGTGGATAAAGATTATTACAATTTCTAGCAACAGCAATTAAAGCTGCTGCTAATTAGAATGCATTGCTTTGACACTGACTTATAATCATGTTGGTCATGGCAGGTTCCTAGCTGTGTCTTGATGAAAAAGTTTGTTCTTTTACATGTTTTCACTCTGTGCTTGATCTACAGACAGGAGAAGGTGTGCTTTTGACTTCTTCAGACATTGGTTTAAGGCCATAGTGGTATTTCACATATAAATGCAAAATTCAGATATGTTCATTTCCTAGCAGTACTCTGTTGTAGGTGGATATACTAGATGATAACACTACTGAAGATAGATAGTATGACTGCTTTTCCTGTTCAGCCCACACTTTGTGAGTTAATTGGGTATTGTAATGACTTATTTTTGCATCTATTAATGTGAGCCAGAAATTGTAACATTTCCATTTTTATCTTGGCATATTTACAGCACAGAAAAATATTGCTCCTTTTGTTATTACTCTTTGTGAGTCAACCTCATTGATATTATCAAAACACAAACAGCTCTGAAAATACCTGACTAATGGTTTTCAATAGACGAAGAAAATCTATTTTGTAAGTTATTGGTAAAAAAATAGCAGTTTTTATTATTTATTACTAGTTAAAGTAGGTACTATAGCATCCTAATTTGAAGTGTGCTTGCACTTCTGCATACAGAGAGTTTAGTCATGTCTTTCAGTCCTTACACAGTCAAGTGGGCGTGTTTGCAAGCAGAACTGGTTTTCCATGAATTAAACATGTAACTATTCTAGTATAAACTTAGCCTGAATTCCAGAATACATTTTCAACCTAATTTCAACAATATTGAGATGCATTTCAGCATGTTTTTCCAACAGGTCACTAGAATCCATTTAAATAGTTAATATTCTATGGCTTCTTTGCAATTTTTAAGAGGCACTTGTAGTAGGAGATGCATATTTAATTCCTCAAGACTTCTATTCCCCCTTGATTTTAAAAATATGTCTATGTCCTTGAGTAAACACTTATGAATTTAATGTTAGTATGGCATCTTTGCTAAAAGCTTGATTGCTTTGTTTCTGTTTGAGTGGTTAAATCACTATCTTAGGTGTAGGAACTCTGATTACTAATTATGAATTTTTATAACAATTTGTCTGCCCAACATTACTGTTTGTGATTTGAGAACTCCACTTGAATAGCCAGATTCCAAAACAAAGCTTTTGCAAATAATTGGCCTTTCCAGACTTCCAATTGCTTTTCAAATGAAAATCAGAATCTCTTGTCCCACGTGACACTTTATAGAGAGCCTTGATCTTACATTTTTTCCAAAAGTTGCACCACAGTCTTGCCATGGAAAGAGCATTTATGTAGGCACATGTATGAACTTCATACTACAAGCAACAAAATCACTGCTCTGCAGTTGGACAAAGGACAAAAGTTAGGTGTTGCTAAAGTGACAGGAGGATGTGCATAATGTGTGACAAGATAATTGTCCTTTTTTCCCCAGAGCTATTTGAATTTCAAAACAGTAGATTTGTTTCTCTATTTATTCATTTTATATGTAACAACTTGTGTCTTAGTTCCTAAGAAAAGCATAATCCAAATATTCTAATCCAAGGGTTTAATAAATTTTAGGACATATGTTATCCTGTGTTTCCCAAGAAGAAAATGAGGGTTTGTGGATAGTTACTTCTGCTCAGCTAGTGAGCAGTAACACATTAAGTCAAAGCAACCTGTCCTCTGTAGAGTAGCGATAATTACTGTTTTGGTGAGAGCATTTTGTAGATTGAACATTCAGATGTTCCTGAAAGTTTTTGATATGTCCCAGTAAGATGCCCTCTAGATGTGCAAAATGTTCTTTACATTCAGAGCTGCTGGTTTTCCAGAAACATGATTATATAAACCTGCTGTTTGTTTCCAGTTGTGGCTTATTTCATTCTAAGGATTTGTGTCACAGAAGTTGTGCTGTGAATGTGATCTCACTCTCTTCCACCAATGGAACAAATGGCCTTTGAGGCATTGGTTTACTTAGCGTTGGAGGTTTAAGTACTTGGTTTAAACGCTCTGTTCATGCCAAAGTATGTCAGTGTGGAAAATATACAAGGCATCCTGCATGCGGTCCCATTATAGATTAAAGAAAATGGAAAACAATTCAGAAGGAAAGTAACTAGAATTAGAGTAATGCTTTCAGTGCTTTTATGCACATTCTGTCTGAAAGCTCCTATGTAACCTGTTCATTTTCTCACCTTTATACAGCAAGTTAGACTTGCCTTTGAATCCTAGTCAGCATGAAGTAGGTTGAGTATTTTTTTTATTGAACATTATGCTGAGTTTTTGCTTCCCCCCAGTTCTCCTCCCACACAATGTACAATAGTCTGTGCTAGATCCACATGTAATTACACTCCCAGAGCTCCAGGCTAGTGCAGTGATTGAAGTATGCTTTTTTACAACGCAAAGGGCAGCTGTAAATCGTATTGTGGGTATGTGATGATGGCCTAGAACCTAAATAATTTAGGAATTGGTTTGGGTTTGTTTTCTTGCTGCCACACCTCAACTGTGCCATATGTTTTTGTCTTCAGCACTATTGTTTTCTGAAGTAATTGCTTGGCTGAAAACCTAATGTGATTTTGACTACATGTTTAGTTTGTAAAAGTATATTGCAAGTGAAGACTTTAGAAGGTCTTCAGCTACTACACCTGCATTTGAAGAGCCTGTTTCTTTAGGGCCTTAAAATTTTTTGTCTTTAAGATATGCTACTCTTTAGAAAAATTTCATTATCATCTTATTTCTGCACTACCAAAATAATAACTCTTGGATACAGTCACATATGATGTGAGAATTCCATCAGCATTAGTATAGATACTTCATTTTCCATACATGGGGCTCTGACAGCTCATTTTTCTTGATGAGGCAACATCAGAACGAGGCTATTGATCCTCCCTGTCTTTGTGCATGAGATAGTCAGCCTTCTTTTTTTTACCAGGGATATCAGCCTCTTTCCTTCATCTGAAGTTTAGTCATAAAAAAGCTTACACACAAATTATGGATAGGCGTTTCAGTACAGGACTCCAGTAGAAAGTTTTTTTCCAAGATTCTCAGCACTAATTCTAGCTTAGAAAGATGGTTGCTTAAAATAACTGTCACCTTACACTCCTTTCATTCAAAGGATCACAACCTATTAAGAAATAGAAATTAGTAATATCTTTTCTGTACTGACTATCTATGTTACAGGTGCTCCACTGAGAAATTGCTATACGTCTATGTTTTCATGGCTTAACAAAAGGATGGATAGGGCTTTCTTTTTTTAAACACCGCTCACCCAAGCTACGTTAAGAATCGATCCCTCTCACAGATGCTGTCAAATGGTTGCTTTGGGTACTGCATACCACAGTGCCACAGCTAGGCTGCAACTGTATTTGAAAGATATTTTGGGAGCCGTAGCAAGATTTGATGCAGACCTCACAAAGTTCACAAGGCAGTAGAGCAGATGCTTTTCACTACAGATATACTGACCTTAGAAAGCTTCATAAGAAGTGATTCAAGCTGACAGTGCTGCTTAATATATGTATATATGTACATACAGAGTGCTATCCTTACTGCTTCAGTAGGAAACCCAAATTCAGGTTGCCAGTGGCTACCAGCTGGTACTGGTTTGTATGGTCCGTAACACAAGTGGAAAGCATGAACGTACTGGGGCAAGGAACAGCGTGCTAAATCAGCTTGGCTGTACGCACAGGGAGTGGTACATGTAGGTCTGTGCTAAGGGCTAGCAGTGCTAAACTTTTCCATGGCATTACCCAAAGTAATGACATTGAAGATCATGCGCACATGGGTGCAGTGTATGAGGTGAGTTTAGACTTGGGCGTGAGCTGTAGCTTGGGTTGAAATCCACTACAAATACAGCCCTGGTAGTGATGTAAGTATGTCTAAATAATAGTTGTAGCAGTAATTACTTTGGTTTATAAACTTATATATATGTGTGTGTGTGTGTATATATATGCATGTATATATATTTTAATTACAATCCTAGTCCTACTATGAAACCTGCATAGAACTTCCCTGATCTGTAGAACAGAGGAGCATCTCACAGAAGCAGATGGCAGGAAAGAGCTTGGACTCGGAACCCATCATCTTTCTGTAGTTATTTCAGTATTTCTGTATGTTCATGTTTGATGCAATTCTGTCTTGTTCTATTTCAGTAATTTGCTGGCTAACTCCTTTAATTGTAACTGCCATTTGGCCTGGCTGGGAAAATGGTTGAGGAAGAAGAGAATTGTGAGTGGAAATCCACGCTGCTTGAAACCCTTTTTCTTAAAGGATATTCCAATCCAAGATGTAGATGTCCAGGACTTCACCTGCGATGGTAAGAAAATCCAGTTCTATTTGGCATTTGTGATAATGCTGGCACCTCTGTGAGGACCTCCCTTCCTATCAAACTATACTGCATGGTAAACAGTTTAGTGATGAGGAAGACAGCCACCTAGAGCTGAAGATCATTGTTCCCTATCAGGAGTTTATTTTTATTCTTGATTTCCAGTTTCTGAATTTCTACTATCTACACCTAAATATAAGAATGAATTTATTATAGACAAATGCTCTGCTTTGTATAATCCCAGTATAATCCTGGCTCCTCCCAATTCCTTATTCATACATTTATTTAACCCTCTGAAGCTAGTGGGAATGGTGCTTGCTTGGAAAGTCTTAGTTTTGGATACTGTTCAGTTTCACCAATCATGGGTATGAATACAGGAAAATAAAAAAAAAATCCTCAGATATTATATGAAATGACTCAGTGATTCTTAATGCTTTGCAGGGTCCACATAGGTTAAAAAAAAAAAAAAATCCTGACATTTCTTTCATTCTTCAGGTAGTTCTTTGTCTTCTGAAAAATTGACCGATGAATGCACTGCTAACTTGACTTGTAGGCTGTGATTGCCTGTTAAGACCAGATATGCTGGAGCTGCAGTTAGTCATACCTCTAAAGAGACCATAAGAGTGATAGAAGTTTCCTACTTAGAGTAGAAATTAATTTCTGTCCTATTCAAGCAATCTGGCAACAAGCCCAGGTGCTTGGGCTCAGAGCTCAAGGGACCCAAGTTTAGTCATTAAAGAATAATTTGCTTTTAGTTTGGGAGGAAAAAAAAAAAATCCTGGTCCACAAGAGCTTTCTCTATCATACAGTCACTCAGACAGCTGTGGTGAATGGAAGGTATATGGTGGCAGTGTGTAAAACACAGACCATAGGGGAAAATTGAATACGCTGAAGAAACATGCTCTTTCTGCAGGTTTACGAAAGACTTTGAATTTTGTTTCCGGTCATTAAGCTCATTAAGCTCAGCTGGGGAGAAAAAGAAAAAAAATTTTCCCTGTTCTTCTGTAGGCTGGTCATGCTTCTCCATCCCTCTGAATACAAATGATTCCCTACCTGTACATTTATGGGTAATTCTGTTATCTTGTATCAGGACTTCCAGTCTTATTCTTTAATCTCAATGCTCATGAGTACATCCAGCAGAGAGAAGAAAGAAACAGATCTGTCTCAATTAGTCCTTGCATCAGTTTAAAAAAAAGAAGGTGGCACATAATGACAGCTGGCTGTGTGCTCTTGGATCGCAGCACTGTGTCTCTGTGCTGGTCAACTCAGGCTGCCTGTACTCACAAACAGTTGGGCAGTTCCTCTCACTGTCATCTAGAGAATGTGCCACTAACTGTTTGCTTTCATACACATCATGATACTGTAGTATGCATTTGCCTTATGTTTTGCAAAGCCTGTTGCTTTTGGGGAAAATCCATACTTTAATGTTCTTAACTTCAAAGAGTTGGTTTCTTCTGCAGAAACCCTATTGTTCTCAATTACAAGATTTAATCTGCTGTTTATGGACCTTTGAATCCATTTTTGGAGAAAGTAGATATTTTTATGTGTGCACAGATGGATCGCCTGCAGTTGGAAGTATGCTGTTCAATTTGTTGCTTGCCTGGTTATCCTTGTCAAAATGAAAGAGGTTTTACAATTCAGATGATAAAAGAAGTGCCAGGCTGATTTGAAAAAGTAAAAAATTAACATCTAAAAGCTGAATTTAAAAAAAAAACTTCCTAAAGCAGAGTAGATAGTGAATATCATCCGTCTAGATGAATTTAAGGGCAATGTTCTGGTCAAGTACTCCATTTCAGCTAGTATATTGGGGGGGGGGAGGGATTCACATAACTGATTTTACTGTAATTTGCAAAATTACAGGGAAGTAGATACTTCTTAGAAAAAAAAAATTAAAAATATTGCTATTCAGTTTTTGAACTGATGTCCGTGTTGCCTAAAGAAACTGTATGATGGCAGGTTGATCCAAAGCATTGGATCTACTTTGAAATATTGTGATGGTTACCATGGAATCAGGGATGTCTGTCCTTGGTCCTTGTAAGCAGTTATCTTCAAAGTGCATCACTCTGGGCTGTAAAGCTGACTTCCTAATACTCTGTTTCTCTCCCCTCTGCAGGTAACGATGAAAGCAGCTGCTTGCTTTCACCTCCTTGTCCTTCCCAGTGTACCTGTGTGGACTCAGTGGTACGTTGCAGCAACAAAGGGCTGCGGATATTGCCCAAAGGAATTCCCAAAGATGTGACTGAGCTGTAAGTTACCTTTTACATAGCTCCTTTCATGAGAAGTTCATGAAATTACATCATAGTGAGGCTTTATAGGTCCTTGGGGGGTTTGCCTTTGACTTTAGTGGCTGGTGTTTTGTGCTTTGGTGCTTTCCATATGTTCTGACTGTTATTTTTATACTTACTTGTCCCTTGACTGAATACATTGCTCTGTAATGGGAACAGAGTTTATCTATCCTTGTACCCATTAGTTCTGTGTGTAGGG